AGTTATGCAGGATTCCAGTTATTACAGATTTACAGAATGGTTGAGGTTGGAAGTGATTGCTGAAGATCTTCCGGTCCAACCCCTCAGCTCCAACAGGGTCACTGACAATCACCTGCTCAGGGGCATGTCCAGATGACTCGAATATTTCCAAGGATAGAGACTCCACAATCTCTCTGAGTAAATTTTCTCCCCCACAGTAAAAATTGTTACTTGATGTTCAGAGGGAACTTTCTATGTCTCACGTTTGTGCCCACTGTGTCTGCTCCTGTCAGTGGATGCAAGTTAAAATTCCTGAAATTCTATCAGAATACACGAAAATGTTTTTTACTGTGAGGGTCATCAACACTGGAGAAGGTTGCCTGGAGAGACTGCAGAGATTCCATCCCCAAAGATACTCAAAACACAAATGGACACAGACTTTTGCAACCTGCTCTACCTGACCCCTTGTGAGCAGGGGAATTGAACTAAATTATTTCAGTCACTCTTTTGCAGCTTCAAGGACTCTGATTTTTTTATCAGCTGCTGTTAAACAACACTTTCACAAGAAGTTTTTTAACAATTCAGTAAATTCAACCAAGCCACCAAACACCAAAAAAGTAAGGTTTTGCACAAAAGAAGGTGTGAGAACATGAATGTTCCAGCAAATCAGAAAAGAATACCTAGGGAAAACATTTTCTCATCATGCTCTTACCAAAAATGAAATGACTACTAGATTTTCTGCTAAAGCCCCTTCCCATATCAGTTTCCTAGAACACACAGGATGCCACGTGACTTTAAACATACTCTTCAATATGAGATGGTGAAGACATTTTAAACTTTTCCTGTCAAATTTTGAAATGAGTTCAGGTTCTAGGACTTACACTGTTATCTACAAGAACTAATGGAAGTTTGATTCCTTAGGAAAGGCTCAAGGCTTTTCTCTCTAGTGCTTCACAACAACCTAGAATCTCTGCAATAAGGATTCTGAATTTTTCACATAATGAGTAATAGCGTCAATAACAAAAACATCACGTCACAAAGCAAACAGAATTACAGAATTAATATACTGAAGTGGTTCAGCATCGAGACTCAAAGAAAATTTCATAACTGATAATAAATTTTGTGTCCAGTAACACTGTATTTGCAAACTTAATTATTGAAGCTCTTGCATAACTGATGAATAAAGGAATACAGTGTCTGTCTCAAGCACACATATCAAATCCAAGGTCCTTTTTCCCCATGAAATACTTTATAGAAAATTTTCTTTTACGTTCACAAAACAATACAAAGATAAATTAGCACAAGAAATTCTAAAGACTAGTGCAAGAGTCAAAATTATTGCCAAAATACTTCCCCGAAATTCAGGCAGCATACATAAAGTTACCATTAGGAAATTACCAGGTAAAATTTGACAGTAAAATGGAATAGGTTATACTTAAAAGCAACAGAAAGCATTACCTCTGCAGAATCTTAAATACACCACTTACTGCTTTGACTCATGGTGACAGACTTCCAGTGTTGGATCATTATAGATGAAAGCTGCCTCTAAATCATTGACTCTCACTCTGTAAATCCGGCACTGTTTACTGTTCAGCTTGATTCTGTTCAGGTTTGCAACTGTGGGAAATATTGTCAGTTCCACATAACCCTATGAAAATACAAATCAAAATCTTCTGTAAAATCTTTACCAACTAAAAAACTAGAGATATATAAAGAATTATTACTAATAGAATTTTAAAAAATGACTAGTATAAAGTTATTTTCATATTTAAATAGGAAAATAATTTGCCCTTTAGATTTTCTACATTTTATTTTTCATGCCATTTAACAGGTGAATTTTCACAGCTGTAAATGAAAAAAAAAAAACCAAAACAAAAAATTCAGTATGACTGACAATCATGCCTGTTTTACTGGAAAAAATCTGCCTCTATTGACTAGATATTAAGTTATTAGCATCACTGTGCTGTATGTTTTGGTATCTGAACTTGAGACAAGATTTCTTAAAACCTAAGCAAAATTGTTTTAAACAGATATGTAAATGACAAAGACCCTTGGAGACTAGGCCTGAAATGATGAAAGTCCCTTCAAAGCCCAAGTGAACTCACATATAAGGCTGTAAGCCTATCCCTAACATCAGCTAACACTGTGTGAGCATAAATTTTGAACTTCAAATTGCTCTGTAATATTTACAATGCAGCAGTCTTCATTTAGAAATATTTTTCTAAAAGTGCTCACAATTAGAAGGTATTTTATGTGATACATCTCAAATCATATCAAGTGACAGACTTAGGAGAAGCATTACCTTAGAAAGTATAACATATGAAGTAGCTGAACAGCACAATTAGCTTATAAGTGTATTTTTTTTCCTCTAAAAGCATGAAGAAAACCCAAACACTTAATTTCTACCTCACACTTTTTTAAGAAATACTTACTACAACAGACTTTCTCTGAAAGTTTATGTTGTTGATACAAACTACCTGATGAGTTGTGCTGAAAGGAAGAAAAAAAAGAAAAAAGTAAGGTTTTGCACAAATAACAGCATTTTAAATAATATTTTAACCCTTTAATACTTTAAAAGTAAAGAACACTTTAGTTTAATAGACAGACACAAAGGATACATGTACATACAGATAAATACTGCAAATAGAATATACTTCTATAAAAATCATTAATGATTGTCTCAGTCTTTTATATGGTCTAAACCAAATAATGAGTAGAGTTACCCACAATATCAAGAAAGTCCTCCAAAAAATATATATGAAATTCACAACCACCCCCTCCAAAGAAATAAAAATATATATACCAAATATAGTATCATGCCAGTAGGAACATTACTAGTAATACAGGAAAATAATTTTTGAACAGCACTTATAAAAATAAAGAATTACAAATGGCAGTGTCAAGGTTTAACACTGTATTGATGAGCAGTATCAATAATGGCATGAGCCGTAACACTTGCAATTAGAGACCAGTGGAAAGTTTACCTGGAGAGTTGACACTCATACATAATCTATGTAAGCAGGAGTTACATGTTAAAAGATAAAGTATGTGTTTTTACAATTAGCATGCCGTAAGATTTATAATTTAAAATAATGTTAATACATTAATCAAGACAGGTATTTTACACTACTCAAATGCACTTGCTTAAATTTTGTGTGTCATACTAGAAATTCTAGTAAATAAAACTGATTTAAGATGTAGGAGATTTCCTGTACTGTCATCTTGATAGTAGTGCATTTCATGACTAAAGATAAAACCTTGAAATAATTCAAATTCTATGGCATATCACACTTTACCTGCACATATCCTGTGCATTAAGAAGTGACATTGCTACAGATGAGATAAAGTTTGATAAAAATTCCTACAAGAGAATTACATCTAAAAACGGAATCAGACATTTCTTACATCTACTGCTTGGTAGCTTGGTTACAACCCAAATAGTCAATGTGTAAAAACGACAATTTGCTTAATAAAGCCGTTTGCTGCAAAAGCAAGCATTTTTTTTTTATCCACAAAAAAAAGCCCTTAAGTCTAAAGGCCTTTTTGACACAGCAGTACATGGGGAACATCGTAGTCCTTTAGTACTGACACTGTGTGAAGAAACGTCCAAGGTTTGAAGAGCATAATGGAAATACCTTCGTGAGAATGAATGGTTGACAGACTTGCTGCCCATGAGTAAGTCCATTTACACATTAAAACATACATCTGCAACACATATTTTCTGAATGCAAGCTACACCACAAGCAACAGCTCCAACCTTCTTCAGTAAAAAATTATTAATCAGCCTGCGACCTGATTCCGTGTGCATTGGTTTCAAGTATAGCAATTTAAAAAAAAATGGATACTTATAATTTATAGGGTCTTGGACTTTCAAATCCTTTGTCTCCTTTCTTCCTATTCATCCTGAACCGCAGCACTAAACACACACTGCTGACCGTCAGACTGGCATCATCATCCTCACTCAACGGGTCCTTCGTTTTTTCCCCGCGTCAGGCCGTACTTGATCACTCATCTCCTCAGCGGATGTGCGACCCCCAGCAGCCAGGAATCTTCAGCTCGAGTGAGCACCATCGTTACAGCACCACCAACAAGCAGCGTTTGTCTATAACCTTCTACGGGTGCACACGCAACCCTTCTATCCGCTGTGATCACGGAACCAGTCCAGAGGCGCTTCCCTCTCCGCGGCAACTACGGAAAACAACCGGCTCAGCGGGCAGTGGCGGCGGGAGCCACGGAACCAGGACGGCCGGGCAGGCACCGGGGTCCGCGCTCCTGGGAGCGCCGGCTGGGGCTGCGCCGCCCGCTGAG